TTCTTTCTGGAATCAATGATAAATACATGTCTGACCGTTGGAACAAACCAAAAAACAAGAAAAATAGCATTCATGATGATTTATGGTGATTTTATTTCCGTTAGACCTGCGTCTTTGACGCTGATGCATTAAAGTGGAGGGGCTCCCCTGTTTCAAGATGGCGGCTCTATTGACGCATTCGTTCCAATGAACTGCCGTAGCCAAGGTGAGGTCTAGTGTATATGTCTATGTTAGGGAATGGGCTATGCACGAATAAGTTCCGCATTCGACGCAAGGATGCTCGTCAGTTTCCGGTTGAGGAGATTTAAGCGGAGGAAAACCGAGGAAAACGGGATTATGGCAGAGTCTTCAAAATTTACTATCCTCTCGTCTTTGAAATGAAACTTTCATACGTTTAGATGTCATTTTATACATAGTTATGTTTATTTAATATAATTGTAAAAAGAAGCATAAACAGAACGAGGGGTGTCTGTTTTGTCTGTTTTTGTGACTAACGTTTCTTTAGTATAACCATGGAGTATAAAATTCACTGTAAATTCTCGGTATTGCATTGGACTCTACGATCAGCGGAAGTTATCGAGCATCTTTAGACCTTCACCGGAAATACCGCTGTGCATAGAGCCCATTGGCTTTATGCACAGCTGCACTACTTCCTGAACTTAAGCCAGCTCCTTGTTTCCTGTCTGCCAAACTTGATTAATTCAGGTGTGCCTGATTATTGTTGCCGTGACTACTGAGGTCAGGCACACCTGAATTAATCAATTTGTCCAATAATGGCAGACAGGAAACAAGGAGCTGGCTCAAGTTCAGGAAGTAGTGCAGCTGTGCATAAAGCCAGTAAAGAGAACAAAAATGTAGTCAAGTAGAGAGTAAAAGCTGCTATTATATTTTATTGTAAAACTACGAAGTAGCCAAAAAAAGATACTTATGCGCAGTTTCTACATTTATTCAAATACTTTTCACCACAGTCAACTGCAATGCTTAGAATTCAGGTTGATCATTTCAGTCAAGCAAGTGGTTTAGTCAGTGTGACTGTGTACATATGTGTTTGTGTAATTAGTCATTGGCAGCCGGTTGAACAGCAGGCCACCTGCACATGAAAAGCAAAGGCACACCTGTCTCTGCTGGGCCCGTTCCCTCCAATGAGGCCCAGAGTCAAAACCATGACACTGGAAACCCCGGGAACAGGACACACACTGATGAAAATGAAAGAGAAAGTATTTTGTTGTTTTCTTTATCTGATTCTTTAAGTTTAACGTGTATTTAGGAATTCTCAAATGGGGTTTACAAACCATTAGGGGTGCTTCCTTTATCTTATTTGTGCATCCCTGTTTTCTTTCCTTGCATCTTTGCTCCATCCACTTAGGATCAATTTCAGTATTAAGAAGCACCCTATAGGGGTTTGTGAGGGCATTGAAGGGGGACTGTGATTGAAATGTCAATGTTTAAATGTAACTAAATAAAAAATAATAATAACAAATCGAAAAATGTGTAAAAATGTGATGAAAATGTCACAAGAAATGTGAAATTCATATTTAGAAAAATTAACTGACTCTACATTATACACAAATGCAAAAATATGAAATATTGTTTTTAAACAGTTTTACTATTATACTATAATAGTATATATAAAATAGTATATACTATAATATTATAATGTTATACTATTTTAATATTTGTGTAGACAACAGTCACTTTACTGTATGTTTTTTGTACAAAAACATCTGACCACAGAACAGTGCTGTAGGCCAATGAGAATTCCAGAAGTATTCCAGAGGGTCAAGTACTTTAAAATAAAACAAACAACACACAAATTCAAAATCACTTTGTAATTGATTTTCTGAGAAACTGTGTGTTTCTAAGGAACAGTGCGATCTTGGTATTATCACAGTCAATGTCACGAGAAAGCAAATGCAATATTACCATGACGACCTCTTTCAGCTGCTTGGATACCAGAGAATTTGAAGCTGAGAACATGACACATCACAAACTAAAAAATATTCACACATCCACCGAAGTAGGACAGGTTTAAATTGCACACATCTGTCAAATCCAACAGTCATAAAAGGTTTTATAGTTTTATTATCTGATATGATTGATAACTGTTCAATATAAGACTGACAGGATGTCCACAAAATGCAGTGCTAATTCCTAAAATACACATAGAAGAGAATATAAACCCCTCTTTAGTCATCAGGCCATATATGTAAACATATATGTAAATCTAAACAACAAAAGTGTGGTCATGAAAGGTCACTGTAAACAGATGGGACCCTGTTTATAGGGTGTAAGAGTGAATGAAGGATATGACATTAGATACCTGTTGCTGCCAATAAAACAGAAGGGAACAAATTAACTGTATAGAAATCGTCCTCATACTAGATGTTAAGTCAAGTTTTTTTCAGAGGAATGTGAATCTGGATTTTTAACAGAAATGGCAAAACACAGTTTGCATCAAATGTGCCTAATGACAGACTGCCAGCACTGTCACTGCCACACACATTCTTTTGACCAATGGCTATTTTGATTTGTGATTCTCAATCGCATTTGATAAACATTAAAGTGTGAATTATGATTTCATGCCAGGGACAGATTGAGTGCGCGTCTCTTTATCTTGCTGTTCTGTTTGCATTATGTATGTTCACCAGTCCATCATGTTAAAATGCTCTGAACACATTTGAACTCAGGGTTTTTACACATTTAGGTCATCTCCTGGACATGAGGAAAGAAGGTCTCCAGAGACCCCAGCGACTCATGAACTGCTCTCGCTCCTTCCATCAGACATCATGTCCCGCATCAGCAGGCTGTTGAATTACAACTTCAAATGGCATAATGACTGAACAACACTAAGCGACCTCTAAACACTACACTCCAGTAGTCACACTCCACTGTATAATAATGCTATTTATTATCACCTCATCACAATTATTCAATCTCTTACTCACATCTTGCTCCATCTGTATACAGTGACCCTAATATTTTTTCAGTCATTGTATTCTACATTGTGTGATCTTAAAGAGAAAGTTCACCTAAACATGAACCTTCTGTCAAAAAGGAGACTATAAATAATGTACTATTTGCCATTTTCCATGCATTCACAATGATTGGGGATTGGAGTATTTAGGCTTAACAAACAAACAAAAAAAAAAAGTCAGAATTGTGATAAAACTTGCAATTATCTTTTACATGTTTTTTTTAATACTACATGCCTGATTGGTTGACAAACGTTCTAAGCTGTGCAATTATTTTCAGGAAAAGGATAAATAAAAGTAGCTCCAGGCATGTCTTGACCGCATTACAGTTCCATATATCACTTCGCCAAATGATTTCAGTTTATTCAAAGGTCTTTACATCCTACAGAACCAAGGATAAAACAACAAATTATTTTTTTTTTAAATTGCCACAAAATTACATTTTAGTATAATGCATTTGTATTATGAAAGGCACCTATATCTTTCTCACACTCTCTTATAAGTGTACTGTGCTCTGATGATTTTATCAGTATATTTAGAAACTTAAAAGCTATATGGCATTTCTCATTAGCGAGGAGCAGATTAATGTAGCTTCGCCATTTCGCTGGTGCAGGCAGTAGATAAACGTAGCTTTGCACTGTACGATATAGGCTAGATGCAGACTCAGTAATTCACACACACATCTCTCTCTCTCTCTCTCTCTCTCTCTCTCTCTCTCTCTCTCTCTCTCTAAAAGCTCTAAAATGACGTTTTGGAATTAGCAATGGAAGCTTGGGATGAGATGCGTAAAAAATGAGTCTCACACACAATAGCATTTTTTGGACAAAAACCTGACAAACGTCTTGAAATACATAACCTGAACAATTTCTGAGGTGTGGTAATTGACTCTGGGCCATTGAATTATTATTGTTTATTCCATGGCAGAAACAAGCTTGTGAGTGAGGTTGTCCTGCCCTCGCGCCAGTGAACAAATCATCCGAGATGAAAATAGATATTGCTGCAATTGGGAGGTTATTTTGATTGAAGAATAATAATAATAATTTGTTACATTTATATAGTGCTTTTTCTGGGACCTCAAAGCGCTTCACATATGGAAGGGGGTATCTCCTCAACCACCACCAATGTGCAGCACCTGGATGATGTGACGGCAGCCATATTGCGCGCCATAATGCCCACCACACAACAGATTTTTGTTGGAGAGGATGAAGCCAATTAGTATACAGTATATAGGGTTGATTAGGAGGCCATGATGGACAGAGGCCAAGGGGCAAATTTGGCCAGGATACCGAAGTTACACCTCTACTCTTTTTCTAATGACATCCTGGGATTTTTAATGACCACAGAGTCAGGACCTCGGCTTAGCCTTAACATCTCATCCGAAGGATGGTGTTCTTTGACATTATAGTGTCCCTGTCACTATACTGGGGCGTTAGGACCCACACAAACCACAGGGTGAGCACCCCTTACTGGCCTCATTAACACCTCTTCCAGTAGCAACCTGGTTTTCTCAGGAGGTCTCCAATACAGGTAGCCTACTACCAGGTTAGTTTGGGCTATAAGGTGAAAGGGATGCTGGCCTACAACATGCACATCGATAAAGATTATGATGTGCAACATTACATAAAAAATTTAGAATTTTCCATTTTAATTTCATGATTTTAAGTCATTAATCACTAACAAATTTCCCATTTGGTAAATCTGACAGTCACAGCTGACCAAATTTTGAATGAATTTCTCAAAAGCTTCATAGGCTACGCCTAAATTGATCGTAGAGAAACGCATGCAGGCAAGGCAAATTGAACTTGGGTTTCAACAGGTTTTTATTATTTGTGCGCTAATTCTATTAGGTGAGTTTTGAAGGCTAGTTCGAGTTCGCGTAAAAATAGCCAGCCAGCAAACTTCCTTTAGATTCCAGAAAGAATCAGGCAACCTGTCGGAGCTTTAGCCTACATGTGTGTATCTGGCGTCCCCTCACCGACCCTCCCTCCCCTACTACACGAGGATTATAAGTGGCGTTCACTGAGCTCGACTCCACCGCGCTCGCAAGCAAACACAAGCGCGCTTCACTAGACAAAAGACAATGAGCTGTCACACCTTTAAAATGACTCATATGCGTTCAGATTTAAAGAAATGCTGAAAGGAAAATCCAGGGAGCGAAAAATCGGTCTGTTGTGCAGTAGGAAACCGCTGCGGGAACAAGACTACCTGTGGGCTCTGTAGTGGGCACATAGACAACAGCTGCCAGCGGATATTTCAATCTTCCGGCGGAACACACAACACATAGCCTATATGGCAAAGTTCCTCGCCGAGCTGCTGGGATGTACACTGCCCGAAAAAGGAGCATCTCCCATCTTCGAGGTGAGGTCGAAATGCGTCTTGACTTGCAGTAATCAGGTTGTTGAAGAGCAAGTGATGCTCAGGTTAGTGGAGGCAGCAGTTTGTTAACGCTGAATGGGTGGCTCACCTGAGCAGTGAAATAATGGTTCAAGCTTTGGCTATATCCCGTTTACCTAAACAAACACATTTAAAGCTTTTCATGTATAAAACAGTGTGTTCGGGTGGATATGAAACCTAAATCGTTAAATGCTAATGGAAACGAGACCTCGTAGATGTCCTTAAGAAGCTCCTATTTGGGTCAGTGTGTCATTCTTGTCAGGGGAAATTGCACCTGTGCACAAAACAGCATATCTGGAACCTCAAACACAACATATGAGGAGATGGATAGCATGCCATGAAATGTAAGATTAGTTATTGAAGTCTGTGTCCAAAAGATCCATTTAATACATTTTGTCAAAACAAAGCCTACCAACCAAAATAACTACATTTACTACAAAACATTTGATTCTAATTGGACTATCTTTGTATGAAAACTGCTTGAATCAGTCTGATTCTTTTCAAAACAGTTGTGCTCTGCATTGTGCTGCTGCTTCAACTGTGCAGTCAAAGGATTATGAATAAGCATATACTTTCTATCCCGGTAAACCCCTATGGGTGCACCTTGTGAGGGCAAACACATTCCATGTCTTATGAAAATAATATGTTTGTTTAGATGGTTTGTTCATCATGTCAGCTGCTGCTTGATTTACTTCATAATCCCCCAGATCAAGCCATTTCAAATCAGTGTGTGTGTGAGCACCAAATTAATCTATGCTTTTCAATTATCTCTTGAAATTGCTGATGGTCATAATCAGCCTGTAATGGCAGTTCCATTGAGTGAAGAACAACTGCAGTACAGTGGTGTTGAGGGATTAGCGCCCGGGCCGTTATATAAGAGAATATTCTGTTTGAATCTGCACAAAGCCATCAGATCAGCATTTGCCTCTAATCTCATCATGCCTTTCTTCCCCCTGTGTTGCTGTTTATTTTTTTAAACTCTCTGTGTCTTGTGTCCTTCTGTTTTGCATTTATTTTAATTGATATTTGTCGTTGATTTAGGGAATGTTGTAAGAATAACAGGCCTACAGATTCGTTTAGTTTGTTGGGGTTTGTCAAATTTAGGTTTATGTCTGTTGAGTGCAGATTGTTTTGTTTGACTTTAGTTTAAAATGGATCAACACTTTTTAGTTGGGGAGGGGGGGGGGGGGGGGTTAGAGATTAGTGGTTAGATTAGATTTGGATTTGTTGTTTTAAATTGGACATGGTGTGTGTTTTTAGCTTACTTGGGCTCAGGAATTAGCTTTCTAAAAATGTACAGTAAAAGAGTTGAAATGATTGGAGAATGTGGCTGGTCAGATTACTGTGGTGTGGTAGGTGTTAACATTTACATTTATGAATTTAGCAGATGCTTTTATCCAAAGCGGCTTAGAAGAGAAGAACAAATCATTTGTCAAAGAGCCAACAATCGTTGTTGTACACAATGCCATGTTTATTAGACAACACTAGATTAGGATAAAAAAATGCATTGTGTGTGTGTGTGTGTGTGTAAGTGCATTAGAGTGTGAGGTCATTGAATGTTTTGTTGGCTTAGATCTGGTCCTCATTAGTGTCCTGTGGTCACTTGTTTGACACTCAGCAAGAGATTGAGTCAGGCAAGGTGAGCACACATGCACACACACTAACATCACACACACCCACTCTTTGCCCCCCACATACACACATAGCTGCTTGAAGTTTGGCTGCTTGAGTTAATATTATTATTTTATTAACCTAAAATCAAATGGTTTCAGTTTAATTTGCACTCGCAAGCATCCTAATATAATTTTGATACATTTTATAGCAAATTTTTATCATGTAAAACAAAGTGATTAAACCTAACAAAATATTGAATTAATTTATCAAATTACAGCATTTCAATTGTAAATTGCAGGTTAACAACGACAACCAATTAAAGTGCTCAATATGTATATTTAAACATTTCTGTCTTAAAATGCATTACAGTAATATAACATTTATTGGGGTTTCAAAGGTAGCGTGTTTTTTACAGTAACTGGGTGATGACATCATTAGAGGGAGTAGCAACCCATAGCAACCCGTACTCTTCTAGATTCCTACTGTTTGTGGCTTGACTATGGAAAATGACTGGGAGACTGAGGATGTGGGGAACCATCAAATTATTGATGGACAACAGCCCTACAATTGATCAATTACCAATGCTTGGTGTGAGGAAAATGAGTGGAGGGTTGGCCTGGTGTCCTATGGTGGAAACGCATTCTCACCCCAAGGCGTCACCTTTGACCATGCTTCAATATTTGACGTTTTAGGGGCGTGATCGTACGGCGTCATCTAACTGACGCTAAAAGAAAGCGTCAGTTAGATGACGCGGTTAGGTTTAGGTCTGGGGTGGGGGTAGGGTTACACGCAATCCTAGGGCGTCATCTAACTGACGCTAAAGGGCGCCTAAAGCGTCAGATATTGAAGCATGGTCAAAATGCTTCCCAAGGCGTCAGTTAAGTGACGCCCTGGTGCTAATCCAGATAACATTAGGGAACAAGCCAAAGTCTTTTCAAAATCTTGCCTATAGTGGAAGGGAGGCAGAGTGTAAAAAGTACCAACTTGTCATATTATATTCATTTATTTTGCTATAAAAAAACATACAAAACAATGGTTGGCGGTTCTTATCTTTATCTAAGCACATTGCATTATCTTTGTGAAAAATGTAACCTGCAATTTACACTTTAAGCCCTTTTAGTTCCCGACAGGCTATTTCATAGTGGACACTGAAATGCTGCCAGCCAAAAACTGAACCCATTTCTTCCCTTAAACTGACAATTGCTGGGTAATTGACTCGATTGGTATGAGCTTAGAAATGACTGGATCTTATAAGAAGAATTTATGCTGCAATCTTTTTTATCTGGAATATTGCAGCTTTCTCTAAAGCTGTTATCAATTAGGATTAAACAAACACAACTTTACTATTAGTATAGTTTATTTAAAGTGTAGTGCAGAGATAAACTCATGTAGAAGCTATGTATATTTTTTTAATGTTTTTATCCTAGTGCTTCCACTGTGAGGCAGTATTTAGAGAGGAAATCTTAAAAGTGAGAACCACAGTTTACCATTCAGTTTTGATGTGTGTGGGTCTTGTTGTTTTGACACTGAAATCTGCTTAATATGTTGATTTCATGCAGAAATGTCTGGAAGAGAACGTGCTGCTTTATCCTAACTTGTTAAAGGGATAGTTCACCCAGAAATGAAAATTGTAATTGATCCATTACGTACCCTTAAGGCGTTCGTTATGAACTGAGCGGTTTAGTCCAACATTTTCTGAAGAGACACGATCACTTTATATGATGAAGTGATTGAATTTAGGCTTTTATTCACAAATAAACATTCATCAACTTAGTACACATGAATTATTGTAAACGGAAGCTCAAGCATCGTGAGAACCAATGAGGTTCATTCTCGTGTTACGCCGCACGTTTGATCTTCTGCAAGAACCAATGTGGTTCATCAAGAGATTTGTTCTTGTACGTCAAGCAGGTTCGGTTGAGCTTCTGTTTATGTTCGCTGATCAATGTTTATGTGTGAATAAAGTCCTTAATTTATTCATCATATAAATTGATCGTTTCTCTTCAGAAAATTTTGGACTAAACTTCTCAATTCATATGGATTAGGTTTATGATCTATTTATGAACTTTTTGAATTGTCAAAGTTTCAGTTGCGCTGTCAATAAAGGGACAGAAAGCTCTCAGATTTCATTAAATTGATCTTCATTTGTGGTCCGAAGATGAACGAAAGGCTTGGGAGTTTGGAAATCAAGAAAGTGAGTAAATTTTCATTTTAGGGTGAACTATCCCTTTAATTTAATGAAAAAGGAGAACAACTGGTCATTATTACTTCCTTCTCAAAACTTTCATAGAGATGAGTGTGATCAGTGTGGTCATTAGATGTGAGTTCTCAAGGGTATGGAGGTTACAGACAGCTCAGCATACAGAAAGGATGCTGCAAAGATGATGCCGCCCTTAACCATTCTCAGCCTGATCAGCATATTTCAGTTTCTGCATATATTTCAGGAATAACACAAGGGACATTCACTGGAAGAGAAGGGTTTCCAGACAGTGAAAGCAAGTGACCTTTAAGATATCAAACTGGGTAAAAAACATCAGCAAGAAATGTCACAGATTCAACAGAATATGCTGCTTATTATTTTTACAATATCTGTTGAACAAATAACTTAAAGGTTGTGAAAGATTGCACATTTTCTATACACTCATGAATGCTTCGATGATGTTAGTTTTCTCATCTGTTTGGACAATAGACTGACATTTATGCTTGTTCCTCAGTTTTACACACTTTTAACCCTTGGTCATCATCTTAAAGGGTTAGTTCACCCAAAAATGAAAATTCTGTCAGTATTTACTCACCCTCATGTTGTTCCAACCCTGTAAGACCTTCGTTCATCTTCGGAACACAAATTAAGATATTTAAGATATTAAGATCACTCCTGTATAGTCCATATGCTTCTTGAGGGAATGACTTGCTGGCCTCAAAGTCATTAAAGGACAGCGTTAAAATAGTCCAAGTGACTACAGGGGCTCATTCTTATGTTTATCAAACGACAAGAATACTTTTTGTGCGCAAAAACAACAAAAATAACGGCTTTGTTTCAACTATTCGTTTATTTCTCCCTCTGCGCGAGTCAGGTTACTAGTTTAATAGCGTAAGCTTCTGTTATTGTACATCACACGCATCACACACACATGACCAGCGTCGGCCAATAGTGAGCCTACGTGTGACGTAGCTCTACGCAATCACACTACGTTAACTGACCAGAAAGCCCATAGAGAAGGAAGTGAATAGTTGAAATAAAGTCGTTATTTTTGTTTGTTTTGCGCACAAAAAGTATTCTCGTCGCTTGATAAAGTTAAGATTGAGCCCCTGTAGTCACTTGGACTATTTTAACAATGTCTTTGATGACT